TTGTTCAGACGTCCCCCTCAGACGGTGGAGACAGTGGACTGTTATTCCTCTCTGATGCATAATCAAGTGTGCTGCGGAGTGTCCAAACAGGATGTGCTGTCTTTAGCAGAGGAACAGAGGAGATTCTTTCTCTGCCTTTCCTTCTCTCGCTTTCTCTCTGGGCCGAACAGCCTTAAATCTGAAGCAGTGAGAATATATTACCAGACCCGTGTGGAATCTGCAACTGTCGAGCAGCTTGACTGTAGTTTAACTACTTGAAATTACGAGTGGCTTGTAGCTTGCCATCTTTGTTATGGATGTTTCTGCTAGGACTGTCAGACCTTTACACAAGTCATTTACCATCTATGCACATCCTCAGGATAAAAGGTCATCCAGACAGTGATGTTTACAATATGCGACTATGTACCTAAAATGGAAACCTATTAAATGTTCTTTCAGAAGATTTACTGTCTGCAAGATAAGCTCCCATAAAAACAAACTGATTCATGTGCTTGCACAAGGAAAATGTAGGAAAGTAATGGCTAGGGGACAAAAATTAGCAACAATTTATTACAACAGAACAAAAAGCACAAATCCTCTTGAAATGAGCTGTTTTGCTGTCATTGCGAGTTAGTGTGATTTCAACTGAGAGGAAGTGGGTGTACTAAAAAACACTTCATGACACGATGTCATTTTTTGTAGACACACATATGCACAAGTTTGCAACAACATGATATCATGCTCTTGCTCCAGGCGTTTGTATGACAGACTCCCATTGACAGAGTGGTCTAGCAGACTCAGTCTGACCTGCTGTTCCAGCTCACTTATGTCACAGGTTCAGTCACACTTAAAACTCTCCTGTTTGCACACTGAGGCCCTGCTTAAATGTGTTTACATTAAGATGTGATCACTGTGATCTGATCAAGAAGATTGAACAATCTCCCAATCAGAAAACAGCTTGTTTAGATTTGTCCACATCAGATAGCTTTTGTATCCAGATTATTTATCAGATGAATGCAATGCAAAGCAAGCTTTCCCCTGTGAAAAAGAAGTGTGCTTAAAGGGTTAGTTCACCCAAAAATGAAAATTAGGCTGTGTTTTACTCGCCCTCAAGTCATCCTAGGTGCATATGACTTTCTTCTTTCAGACGAATCCAGTCGGAGTTATATAAAAAATGGTCTTTGATCTTTCAAGCTGTTTAATGCCACTCAGCGGGTGTTGCATGCACCAGTCCAAAATAAGTTACATAAAAAGTGCCCATCCATTAAAAAAAAGCATCTCACACGGCTCCGGGGGGTGAACAAAGGCCTCCTGTAGCGAATAAATGCGTTTTTGTACAGAGTTATATTAAAAATTGTCTTTGATCTTTCAAGCTGTTTCATGGCACTCAGCGGGTGTTGCTTGCATCAGTCCAAAAGAAGTTAAATAAAAAGTGCCCATCCATTAAAAAAAAGCATCTCACACGGCTCCGGGGGGTGAACAAAGGCCTCCTGTAGCGAATAAATGCGTTTTTGTAAGAAAAATATCCATATTCAAAACATAATAATCACTTTAATGTGGCTTGAGCCAACAGTTGTACAAGGAAGCAGCTCTGGGAGGATGACGTATGAGGTCGGCGCTGAGCATGCGCCGGTGAGTCTCGTGAAAACCAACGTTTGTTTACAGGAGCAAAGGAAGCAACGTTTCCTTACTTTAGCAAAGGACAACCAGTCTCCTCTTGGCTTATATCGAAATCCTCCGACATTCTTCTTTACAAATCCTCGTTTTGTACTTCTAATTAGTGACTGTTGTTTTGTTTTGATCTCTCCCCTGTGCTTCCGTGTACCATCACTTCTGAGCGGCGCATGCGCAACGCTGACCTCCATACGTCATCCTCCCGGAACTGCTTCCGTTTACAACAGTGAGCGCAAGCTAGATTAAATTGATTATTACGTTT